AGAGAGAGAGAGAGAGAGAGAGAGAGAGAGAGAGAGAGTCGAGGAGGTCTGTGTGTGAATGAAATCAGGCTGCGGCATCAAGCACTGGGCTGGCTCTGCCTGCAGGTTCTGTGCAAGGTCACAAATGACAAACCGAAGCAGGTACCAATGGGCCTCTAGCGCAGTTGGTACACCCATCGACTGTTGAAATACAGACCCAAGTTCGAATCCCGATTCCATTATATGAGCAGAATAAAATATTTCTGAATTACTTGCGGCCAGTCAGCCGCCCTTTGGGCAAAAAAAAAAGGAAAAAAAAAAAACGACAAAACGAAACAGGTAAGTAAATAGATAAATAATGCAGGCACCCAGCTCGGATATCCACACGCCCTTCCTGACATAATGATCAGGTGCTGACTATGACGAGTGGGTGGTGATAATGATAATGATGATGACGACAACGGTGTGACAACGATGATGACGATGATGATGATGCTGATGATTTTGATGACTGAAGCTGATGATGAGGCCGTGATGAGGTGATGATGAGTCGCTGGGCAAGATGCTGATGATCTGGAGATGAGATGGTGATGAATTGGTGACGAGGTGGTGACGGTGTGATGATGGGGTGGGGGTGAGGTACCTTCTTCACCCGAATACAACGTACGGTCATTTTTGCTGTATTTAGACGGAAAGATACGCCAAATACATCTATAATGACCGTACGTCGTATTCGGGTGAAGAAGGTAGGGATGGGGTGGGGGTGAGGAAAGCATGAGATGGTGATGAGGGTGAGGTAGGGATGGGATGGGGATGGAGTGGGGGGTGAGGTAGGGATAACGTGGGGACGAGGAAAGGATAAGACAGTGATGAGGTGGTCATGAGGTAGCGATGAGGTGGTGATGGGTTGATGATGGGGTAATGATGAGGTGGGGGTGAGGTAGGGATGGTGTGGGGATGAGGAAAGCATGAGGTGGTGATGTCGATGTGACGATGATCTGGTGCTGATGAGAATGATGGTGATGACGATCGCGATCAGACGGTGATGCTTGTGATTCAAATCAATCACAAAGCAAACAACAAAACAACACAGGCACACGATCAGACAAAAAAAAAAAAAAAAAAAAAAAAAGACTGTGGGACCTGCCATCATAGAGTAAAAAAAAAAAAAGCACACGATCAGACTTTTTTGTAAGGAAAAACATACACCAGGGGGCTAGCACCAGGGAAAAGACAAGCTCAGTCCCATCTAAACTAAACGCCTGAACTTGTTTCTTTTGAAAGTTATCTAATCAGCCCAACTGCACCTCCGTCACGGTGCTCGCGGCAGGCAACCGCGTCCTGCAACAGGCCGATCGGCCGTCCCAAGGTCAGATAGGACCACTCCAGGTGCGGACAGAGTGGACCCCAACCCAAACATCCTGAGCCCAGATATCCAATAACAATGGAGACACCACTGGCGCCTGGTAAACAATTTATTATCAAAGGAAAATGCAGTTCAATAAACAAACAGGCATGGGACCACATCTCCAGCATCAACGATTTTGAGGTAGTCACGAAGGCGAAATGAAAAGGAAGAACGAAAAAAAGAAACTGACCCCAAATACAGTAGCACCTATATGGTAGATCACCAAGGAACTAGATGACCACCAAATACAGTACAGTACCTACTACCCCCAAATACAGTAGTACCCCCAATTACGGTACCACAAATACAATACAACCAAATAAAGTAGCACCTATGTGGTCACTAGATGACCTGTTGCGGCTC